TCTCTCTCTCTCTCTGTGTGTGTGTGTGTGTGTGTGTGTGTGTGTGTGTGTGTGTGTGTGTGTGTGTGTGTGTGTGTGTACACACGTATATACACTTCTTCCGTATTATAAATCAACCAAGCGGGATTACCGTGCTCGAAATTATGACGGAAATTATGGCGGTATAATTCACGGCGGAAAAATACGAATATTCCGTCCCGCGAGTTAACGTCTCCCACTCGATCGCTTTATCCGCGCAGGAAGAAAAAGAAAAAAAAAGGAAGAGAAGGAGAAAGGGGGACGAGGGAATTCTGAAATACGCGGGGTGGAAAATACTTCGGCGCTCGTACGGTACGTGACTTATGGCGACCGTACGTATATCGTCAAGAACACCGCAGTTCCGGTGCCGTAGGAAGCGTCGAGTGTGGAATATAAACTTTAACGGATGGCTTCTTCCTCGTGTACCTTGCACGAGGGCTGATCTAGGTGCCTCGTCCTGTCCCTACAGCACCCTCCAGCTTGTATTTCCTCGCGTCGGATACAGAGCCCTTCATATCGCGAAGCCGTCTGTTACCACACTTGTGTGTTTCCTGTGTTTTCCGTGTTCCCTGGAAAAAAAAAAAGAGGAAACGTCAAGCTTGGAAACTCCGTAATGTGTTTATTGAAAAATTGCTTTCGCGAAACGAGATCGCGCGAAGACACCGTTACATTGTAGTTTGTCGTGTTGAGTATATCCGTAAGAAGAATCGAAGAGTGACTCGTAAATAAGTCCTGCTAAATTCCTCTAAGCACTAAATTCGCGCATTTTGCAATTTCATACTCGTGCTCGTTTCAAAATTCACAGACGAGGAGGGCATTTCTACACAGAAAGAATTTTTTAGTGAAACTTACTATAGAATTTTGTAGTGGTGGAAAAGAGTCCTACAGTAATTAATTGCAATGAGAAGAAAAAATATTTAAGAAATAAGAAATATTTAAAAAATATTCGAGTGTCTATAGCTATAATAATAGACTTAATTATACTAATATAAAATATTTTTCAGATAAGGAAATATACATCTTCTAGAAACTTCTTAACTTTTCACTAAAACGACTATTTATTCTACTCGAATAAAAGAATATTTAGGTTTAAGTAAATATATTATTGATATCCGCTGTATAAACATTTTTTTTATTTTTCAGATATTCTTTTTCTGAGTGTAGCCTTTCATTTAATTAAAAAATTATATTATACTGACAGCCTACTCTTACATTACTAGCAACATACACACAGAAAAGTATAGCTAACAAAAATGATTACTTTCAGTTTATTTTCCTTCCTCGTTGTTTATTTTTAACAACAAATATTTTCTTGATAGTCTCCAAAATATACTTATCAAATTTTAAGAAAACTCATTATCATGTATACAAAAGAAAAAAATGTGCTTTTTCTACAAGAACATTATAAATCGAATTTATCGAAGAAAAAGTAGTTAATAAAATGAATTTTTATTTTAATTCAAATTTCTTGAAATACTAAACTTATTAGGATTCAAAATGTAGTTTGAATAAATTTAATACTTACGATAAACTCTTATGATAGATTCGCGACTATATAAATTTACGAAATATTTGAGACAAGTAACATTTACTTGAGTGCATTGCATATTTTTCTGTGTGTAGTACAATGGAAAAGACTTTATATACTGAACAAAAAACTCTAATACTCTCTCTGTGTGCACGGGTTAACCATGATAAAGGACGGTTTTCCATCCGAATAAATGGATTCGACAAGATCCCACGTTGCCACTTGTGTCGGGTAGCGAGAGCGGACAGCCGCAACTCATGTGAAATTTTTAGCCGCGGGATTAATAAAAGATGCGTCGCCGACAGACGGGTATATCGTGTGAATATACATCTGCAAAACGGATCGCCTCTTTGAGGGAAGCCGCTCGTAACTTCAGCAGTAACATCCCGGATACTGATTCTTCGCGCGCGAAACTCGTGTAAGATCAAATCGGAGAGAGATATGAAGGAAAAGTCGGAAAAACAGTGCGCGATAACATGTGTAAAGAGAAATGTGTAGAAAAAAGAGAGAGAGAGAGAGAGAGAAAGAGCTCAGAAAACCATGAGCTTTTCCTCTCTTCCCTTCTCTCTCTTTTTTTATTCGACTTACTCGTTTCTGCTTGAGCGCTTACTGAAATAGAACTGAATATCGTAAATTTAGGAGATAAAAATAATTTTCACTAAATAAGTACTCTGTTAGAAAAGTTCTTAAAAATAATAGCATTTTTATAAATAAATTTAAGAATTTGATATTAAAATTAATAATAGTGAAGATTTTCATGACATTAGGATTATTAGATATAAATTAGTTATAATATTCCATATTTCTTATGAAATCCAATATTTTTTTTCTTATATTCCATGTTTTCTTATTAAATTCCATATTAAATTGTGAAATTATAACACGTTATGATATGTTAGAATAATTTTTCTAATATATCATAAATACGAAACTGTTTCAGTCACATGGCCTAAAAGATTCAGCTTGTAAAGCATCGTGGCTTTCATCGAGATTTCAATGGAGCTATCCAGAAGTCTCTTCATTGGTTCTCCTTTATGCTGTCGCAAAAGTTATACAACTATGTGTTATTAAAAATATAATATTAATTTTATTATTACTTTTTATAACATAGTTATATAAAAAAACTTTACATCCTAGTTATTAAATTTAATAGCAAGTTTTCTAATAGTGTATGTTCATTTGGATTGTTTCTTCTTTGTTTCTTTTTTTAACGTACTTTTTGTCTTTGCTTTCTCTGCACTATTTTTATATGTCAATTAATCAATGAATTATAAACCACTCCCAATAATTTATATTATTTACTCTTTATATTACAATTTTTATATTACATTATAAATTATAATTATAAATTATAAATTATATTTGTATATTATAATTTTTATATTACATTTCTGTAATCTATGCACTTGAGGGAATGACCAGAACGCTCAATAAGTGAAGCCTGCTTCCCCTCCTCTCTCTCTCTCTCTCTCTCTCTCTCTCTCTCTCTCTCTGTCTTCCTCTCTTTCCTATCTCTTTTTCTCGTCCATATTTATTCTCGCAACTGCACGCCGCGATTATTTTATCTTCATAAAAATGAACGTCACTCTCTTTCATGGCATACTATCGACCGAGTTCCATAGCGCGAACTCCCTCCGAGAAATTCATCTTCCCTCGTTGTCGTTATTCATTAATCGCACAACATGGATGCACTTTTAATCGCACTACATTTTGCGGGAGGACGATTACCGAACACCGCGATCGATCACCTGCCAATTTTAATAGTCCCGTAGGACAGGGAAAATTCAAGATGGTCTTCGCCGTACGAAAATTGCAACCCCCGATCGTCGTCGTCATCGTCCACACATTCGTTTCCCTTCCTCGAGGAAGCGCTTTTGATTTTCGTCACGAGAATCGCGAACTTTCCATTATAATGGGAGATCTCTCTCTCTCTTTCTCTCTCTTTCTCTCTCTCTCTCTCTCTCTCTCTCTCTCTCTCTCTCTCTCTCTCTGAGCTATTCGCTCGCTCGCTGCGAAACTCCACTTGAAGTGGTGATTTTGCTTCTTCCCCTCTCTTTTCCTCCTTTTTTTCCTTTTTTCGCCCTCTCACCGAGGAGACCCTTCAATTTGTCATATAAGACGCGCGCGCCCGGCGCGTTCACGTCGAGGCACTCGCCAGATCAATGGAACTGGGTTAGGAATTCACGGGGAAGAATACGGCGCGCGCGGGCCCCCTGATAAAGCCGGCGCGGCCAACGGCGCAGCAGGGTCAACAGCTGAGATAGGCGAAGTCGATTATCGCCGACATTCTCGTGGCACGTGGAAATCGATACCTAATTATCGTCCGGTATTCTACACGCGAGCTGCCGCGGGAATTTCCTTCGCCCGGTAAACCTCCGCCCCGACCTGTCCTGCGCGCCTCCTCCTTCTCTCTTCCTCCTCCTCCTCCTCCTCCTCCTCCTCCTCCTGCCCCTCATCCTCCTCGTCTATTGCGCTCCCGTGAGGTTACAAGGTGAACTGGGGTTCACGAAGTTAAGCACAAAGTAAAGGATACGTGGCACGCGATATTTACGTAAGCAAGGAAATTTACGGATCGAAGGATACCCGCGCACGACGGGACGGTGCATTGTGTGTCTAAAAGATCCGTTCTGTCGCCTATTCGCACTGAAATTCTTGTATGCATGTATGTTTTTGCGGCAACCTACAATAGAATATGTGGCAATTCTTATCCGCGCGTCCGCGACTTTTTTTTACGATCATCTGCGGATTATCAGATCAACAGCGAGAAATCTTTTGGCCCAGGTCTTTATCCCCGAGATAATATATAGACTGTGTCCTTACGAAGTGTCCATAATATATTTTCCCGGCAATTTGCGCGCGCGTTGCCGCTCTCATATAAAGTGAGCTTCTTCCACCGTCGTATCGATCATTTGTTTAGCACATGGTGCAAAAATGCCGGCAGTTTCTCTCGTCATAGCGAGATCTCATTTAATTACCTCGCCTTCTAGTTATCTTGCATCGAGTTATATCGTAATCTCGAATAACACGTATCCATCTTGATCGCAATTTGAATGACAAAAGATTACGCGCGATGCGTATATTTTATAGTATAAAAAAATAAAAAGATCAGCCAAAACAACTCGAATAGAGTCAAACAGACTCAGCTTTAAGATTGCGCGCGCACACACACAGGGAGAAATTTATAGTAAAATTTATTATATAATTTTGCAATCGCGAGACATAGACCGACATTCTGCAGTGATTAAGTATTTTTTTTATGTTTCAGGAACTGAAATATACTATTAAAAAATATATTGTTTTTAGCGAAATTTACTATGGCTTTTATTCTAAATGGCTTTTACTTTCTTTTATCGATAAAAAGACTGTAAATTTGTTTATAAGCCTATTAGAAGGTTTATAAACTACATTTAGAAATATCTTTATCTATACAAAAGATTTCAGATCACATTAAGTTTCGCTAGAAAATAGAAAATTTTAAAATATGCTATTGAGAAATTGGCTGTTTCTAGCGAAACTTACAGTAGTCCTTACTCTGAATTACTGATAGTAATTATTGATAACGTTTTATTGATAAGAGACCCTAAGTGTGCTTGTAAGCTAATCAGAAAGTTTATAAGTCATATTTACAGGCATTTTTATTGATAAAAGAGAGTTGAGAATAAGAGCTTACGTTGCTTAGCAATTTTAATTTTTAATTTTAATAGACCTGACAGTCCATTCCGGGACACTATCAGAAGTATAGTAAAATTGAAAAGAATGTATATAAAAAAAAATTGACATTCTCTCCGTATAGGTAGCAAACTAACTGCCTTTATTTTTTTTTTAGAAAATTTTCGCGTGTTCTTTTAATCTTGATTTAAGTAAAACAAGCCCAACAAAATGTAGTTGTCTAAATTATATAATTGAAACTTTTCCATGTCAACCATACTCTATTTTTCATCAGTTTTACTCGATTGCAGCCTCCTTACTTACTCGTTATCCTTAGAAATTCATCGAAATCCTGGAAGACATTATATAAACTACATTATTCTACTTTAGTGC